GCTGCGACGAAAATGACGGAGTGCATCTATCGGAGCGAGGCGACGGCGGACCTGAAGCGGACGACAAGCCAAACGGGGCAGGATCCACCCCTCACTATCATGAGCGACGGGAGCCCCGACTAACTTGCCGCGGGGCGCCAGGAAGGGCTGGACCTTAAGGACCAAATCCCGGGGGACGCCCTGGGATACCAAAAGCTTCCGGCAGTCACCTGAGCGCCCACGCCAGTTAGAGATGCCGTCAGGCACAGGATCCCGTCGACAAGGAGTCAGAGAATTTGGCGGTGTCGCGCGGGCCCTGTAAGGCGCCCGCGCTAGAGCCGTGCGTTCCCGCAGGACCAATAGGACCTAGCGGCGATCGGCGGCTGAGACCGCGAGCTAAGGAGCCTCGCGCTCGCGGAAAAATTCGTCACTGTGCGGACAACGAGCGAGCGAACGACACAGAGAGCGAGCGAACGACGCAGAGAGCGAGCGAGCGACGCAGAGAGCGAGCGAGCGACGCAGAGAGCGAGCGAGCGAGCCTTAACACGAGCGAGCTAGCGGACGAGGAACGAGGAGCGAGCCCAGCGAGGGATAATTGGTGAGCTGTCTTCCACCTGTCGTTCAGCCCGAGTGCCGAAAGACCGAGATGGTTGCCGTCGCTTCCCGACGGCAGCCGGAAGGGTTCGTCGACATCCTCGACGACCCGTTCGACCTCGCGATCGCGGGCTCAGATTCGGGGCCCGCGAGAGAATAGCCGTCCTTACCGCGCTACCTGCTGCCGCTTCACCGCGTTCGCGACCGCACAGTACGGCGAGCGATTGCGTACAAATTATGACGACTCGCGATCATTCGTAGGAAGTGCGGGTTCCAAGAGTGACGAGAAATTCGTGGTTCGCGACGTGATAATTAGGGCCGGGATGCACCCGGCTGGCGCCCAATTCAGTAATTAGCGTGTAACGATAGAATTTCGCGAGCCTCGTGCCGTCCGAACTCCGAGAGGCAGAAGGATCCTCGACTACGGATCCAGCTGCCGAATGACTGCGCGACTACGCGACTCGGAGCCCGCACCGCGTCTTTTGTAGTACCTTTCTTTGTTGCTTTTTTTTTGTTAAATACAGCGCAATGTTAAACCGTTTGTGTGTTCTTTCGTGATTCCTCCGACGCAGTCGCCTGTTCCTCTCGTGTCGCGCGAAGGAAGGTCGCGCGTCGACACACGAACCCCGCCGCTCTATCAAGTCAGATATTTTTTTTGTTGAGAGCTGCCGGCAAGCTCGGCCGTCGGCGCAACGGCGGAGACGAAGTTTTGACCGTATTCTCGCGTATAACTAACGAAGAACAGTCACACCGTAATAACCTTCTAGCTCTTACGGAAAAACAACATATTGATTGGCTGTCGCGCGAACTTCTGCCGCGCGGCAAGCATTACCGCGTCCTGTGTGCAGGAGTCATAACAAACGGAAAACATGACGCCATTTTTAGAATCTCTAAAGAATTAATGTGCACTAAGTGTGAAAGTGTAAAAAATTCAATTAATGTGAATAAACTTATTGGATATTAGCTATTTTCAGACAATTCACACTTTCAAAGGATGTCCTAAGAATATTCTGATGACGTCCCTCCGTCCTGAAAACGTCTTCAGAATGTATTTTTGAAAATTTGTATTGTTTGGAGTGCACTAGTGTGCAACGGGCATTAGGTGTAAAAATGTGAAAAGTACAAGCAACTCGAACAAACCTAATGTTGGAATCCAGAACGTACACGAAATTATTGAGGCAGCCTTTAAATCCTATACACCTCCCTTTAAAGCTATAATCAAATTTCTGAAAAAGTTCCGGCCTAACCGCCGTCACGACAAGACGTGTTCGAATGTGTTCGGACCTTGTGATTTTTTTGGATCGTGTCTTGGAAATTTCCAAAACTTTACTCTCAAATTATATCATTAATCGGAAACTGGCGTAGGGGCATTACTCTTATAGAGGCCTGTAGCCATATATTGAAGGAAGGAAGGAAGGAAGGAAATTTCTGAAAAACACCAATCAGAGCATATAATCAGCTTCCATATTGCGAGCTACACACATTTACTTTCAAGGTTATAGAGAACCCTTTAAATCACTAATCACTGAAAATGATGAAAGGTCCCGTTTGATGGACTGTATATTAATTCGGAGAGAAAGGAACTTTTTTGACAGATGTGCGCGCGTATATATAATAAATATGTATAACCGTAATATTGGTAATTATTCAGTTTAGCTGCCTCACCTCCGATTTCGATGAATGTAGGCTCATTCGAAAGATATTTGCATGAGTAACAACTTTTTCCTTTAAGAAAATCGGGGCTCTGCCCCGCGAAGCGAGATATTAATCGATAAAGTTGACGCGTTAGGTTAGGAAATTTGTTATACCATCTATCTCTAGCTATGTAACTGGGGCGCTTCGCCCCCCAGACCCCCTATCACGGGGGTGGGGGCTATAGTCTCTTGTGCTTAAGCTAAAGAATGAATTTCTCACAAAAGACTACAGCCCCCAACCCCGTGATAGGGGGGTCTGGGGGGCGGAGCTCCCCAGTTACATAGCTAGAGATAGATGGTATGACAGATTTTCTAACCTAACACGCCCTCAACTTTATCTATTAATATCTCGCTTCGCAGTAGAGATATTAATCGCGACGATTTTGTCAGAGGAAAAAATTTGGCATGCACAAACGCGTCGATTGAGCTCTCTTTTATTAAAATCGGAGGTGAGGTAGCTCTTCTGAACAATTACCCTAACGCGTCTTCAAATTTATCGATTAATATCTCGCTTCGCGGGGCAGAGCCCCAATTTTCTTAAAGGAAAAAGTTGTTACTCGTGCAAATACCTTTCGAATGAGCCTACATTTATCGAAATCGGAGGTGAGGCAGCTAAACTGAATAATTACCGTAATATTTTATAAATGTAAATATAAAATACATTGTAACGTTTAATTAAAATAAAATGAAGTAAAAATATGACAAATAAATGAAATATAAAATTCATAAAGATGAACGAAGTGAAAAACAGTGTTATGGTATATGTATATATATACAAGTGGATAAATTATTATATAAATTAAACAATTAACTCAATTAAATTGAGTTCCTTAGTGTTCTAACGCGTTTTGATAAATATCATTTATAATTGTAGCATCGTTCTTCGCATTGCTATTATCATCAACAGCGAAATGAAGTCTGTGCAAGATGAAAGGAGCATAATTAAGGGAAGAAAAAAGAAGTAAATGGAAAATAGACAAAATATCAGATAAGTAGCTAATATTCTCATAAAATAAAAAATTTTTTATCTATGTGTTGTCTGTAATTGTAGACAATGTATTGGACCAATTCTTTCCTTTGATTAATTTTTTGTTCCAGCTTCTCAGCTAGCCACATGATTGCAGAATGTTGATAACTGGAGAATAATTTGCTACGGAATAAGGTTGTAAAATTCTAAGTCTTGATGAACATAATTAATGCTTGTGGCGCCGTTTACACTGGAATCAATTTATCATCATCATCCACAATGGAATGAAGCTTGTGCAAGATGAAAGAAGTATAAACAAAAAAGAGAGAAAGAAATAAATGGATGATAGGCAAATATATCTAATTACTTCAAAGTGAGTATAAAACAATAAAATAGAAAATAGTAAATATTGTTATGAAGATGAGTAGCTACTATTTATAATTTGTAATTTGTTCATTTACATCTAGATACGATCATTTATTGGATTTTACGAAAATCGGTAACATAGAAAGATCTATAGAAAGACATAAAAAAATATATTGGACGTATTCCAAAAAATTTAAATAATTTATCATATTGTTTAAATGAAGAAAATCGGAAGCAATTACAATTTGATTGTAACTTGTGTGTTACAAATAGATTCAGCAGATTCTATTGTTGTTGATTTTGTCATTAAAAATAATACAAAAGCCGTTATTTTAATAGACAAAAATTTAGCAAATTTGGTAATGCAAATAATAAATGACAAATTAACTATTTTTGTGGATGAGACGTTTACAACGGTCCCTCTAATACAAAATAATAATTGTCAATTGTGGACGATTATAATTAGATGTGATAATAGGGTAAGCAAACAATTAATTATAGTTTATTCATTAATTAGTTCATTCAATTACAAAATTATTTTATATAAATATATGAGTAAATTAAATTGCTCTCAAATTTCAGACATTTTCAACTGTGTGCACTATAATAGAAGGACGCACTTTTGACGATTATTTCAACGTCTTACAAAAAGTCACCCATGTGATTAAATTGGTTGCGTCAGATGCGCACATTGACAAACGGA